GCGGGTAGGAGTGGTCTCCTTCGGCCAGGCTCAGCCTTAGCAAAGCGCAGATGATTGTATTGTCCTCCACGACCACCAGCTAGATTGAATGCCATATTCGTAATCAGGACGCCATGTATACGACTTTTCAGCTGATTTGGTGATCTAGGGTATCTCAGCGAAAGCGCCTCTTTCCAGTATCAGGTTAAGCGGATGTGATATTCGTGTTCAGGAGGTCAAACTACCCCTGGGGACAAGTTTTTAACGAGTTCGGTCACTCGGAGTATTTGGCGCTACGCCCGTGGCGCGGCACCAAAACCCTGAATCACCTAGCTTCGGGGGAAGTTGTTAGGAGGGTTGCATTACCCTTAGAATCGAGTTTTCAGTTGAATCTGTTCATTAGAAAGAAACGGCAAAAACTACCCTATTTCCGGAAGTGTGGTAGTAACAGTTGGCGCTGTTGGGGAATCCCCAATAGGGGAGTCGTATTTGGCCGCCAGGAGAGGGGGTCGTATTTGGGCTGGGAAAAATTTATTTTGATAGTTGATTTTTCTCGCTTCACGGACGTTGTAAAGGGGGGGGGTCGTACTTGGTCATTGCTCGACGGCTCGATTCGATGAGGAGGAACCATACCACTTCCCCGCCCCCCAAAAAAAAGGGGGTCGCATAGACTCCACTGAAGTCTCCAATCAGTGATTAGCCCTAACATGAGATCGAGCTGCTTACAAAGGCTTATTTATCGGACAATGCAACGAGCTGGTCTTAGGCAAGAGTAAACCGGTGCCACCCTCTACTAGTGAATATTCCAGAGTAGTTATGGTTTTTCTGAAGAGACCTTTAGTATTTGCTTGACATCCTTCTGAACACATCATTTCGCTGTTAACACCCTGCTCGTGCATGAAAATTCATCCACTGCTGTAAATACTTGGGCCTGCATCGGTGCTTTTTACATCGATGCGACGGCCTTTTCATTGATTTCGTGTGTCATTTTTTATATGAAAAAGCATTGCGGTAAAAGTTACGCCCACATTTGCGCTCTGTCTCTCGCAAACCGTTCTGCTATAAAAGTGCCGCACAGGACGGAAAGCAGGACAGCAGTTCGCCTCGTGCATTGCTCCTTCCTTGCAAGCAGCAAATTCCTGAGACTGTAAATTCGTCTCATTCACTAGAAATGGACGACAAGGAAAAGCTGCTCGAGGCACAACAGCTTAAAAAGTTCGCCTTTTTTGGAGTTACTGTATCAACAATCGCTGCGCTGACTTCGATTCTAGCAGTGCCGATGCTGTGCCTCCACATGCAGAACGTTCATTCTGGTTTTCAAGAAGAAATGAAGTACTGCCGTGTGAAAAACGATGGAATACGGAGCGAGATCAACAAGGTTAGTTGCATCCTTGCCCTAATCTCGGAACAACAGTTCAAGTGGACAAATTTTCGTCTTTTCCTTTTTCTCGTTGTATTGCTACAACATTGAGTGCATACATGCCTTTTTGCAGCTTGAAACTGCTCGCATAAAACGTCAAGCAGGTGGTGGTTCCTGCTGTTCATGTGGAATCGGTCCCATGGGTCTAATGGGCCCACCAGGACTTGACGGCGACCCAGGAGAAGATGGTCATCCTGGAAGGCCTGGAAGTCCTGGGCCAAATGCCGAAGACAACACTGCAGTCCCAACTGCAGATGATTTTTGCTTTATATGCGAACCAGCACCTCCAGGGGTCCCAGGAATGCCAGGATTCAAAGGACCGGCTGGTTTACCCGGTGGAATTGGAGAGGTATGTATTGGTTTGTCTGAATTGCTCTTACCTGTATCACTGAAAAATGTTATTTCAGCCTGGTATGATAGGAATGCAAGGTCCTAAGGGACCTATTGGACCTAGAGGATTACCTGGAAGAGATGGTGAGCCCGGTCCACCTGGCCTGCCGGGACAGCCTGGCCTTGTAAGAACTTTGCAGTCGCCGACCGGTGAACCAGGACCAATGGGACCTCCCGGACCTCAAGGCCCGAGTGGAACGCCTGGAACACCTGGACAACCTGGACAGTCTGGGCAACCAGGTCAGGATGGCGAGCCAGGATTGGATGGAATGAATGGAGCTGACGGGGAGCCTGGTGCTCCTGGACAACCCGGAAACATTGGTTCAAAAGGATCTTGCGATCACTGCCCTCCTCCACGCACACCACCTGGATATTGAAATGCTACAGAATAAGAGTCAGAGTCTCCATTCGAGAAATTAACTCAGTTGTTCTTGTTGCAGATGAGTCTAATGAAGCATCGGAAGTAAAATTATTTGCAAAAATGAAAGCGATATGAGAATTCGTGAAAAAGATTCATATTTTTAACCAACGTTTCAAGTCATTCTCTTAATATCTCGCATGATCCACTAGCAAACAGCTCGATTAAAAGTGGTGTTAATTGAAAAATCGTATATGAAGCACGCTCACGATGTACATTTGAGAATTAAATGTTTGGTGTACTGAATCTTCCTCCTCCTCCTATCCCATCGAATAGTTCGGAAAAAAGACAAGTTAGTGGTTTGCTCATTTCCGAAAAAAAGAGAAAAAAAATTTGTGCCTAGTTCTTTTCCTTTCCATGGGGGGGGGGTACCAACAAAATATGTCGCATCACTTGTCGCAATTCGAAATACTTTAAATATCCCAGAGATCGGGAGTCCGTGGGCTGTGTATTTTATTTAGACGTTGGGGCAGCTGCGCTCCTAGAGGGATATCGCCGTTTCAGAACAGCTGCAATATGACTTTGCCCAGTACGGAAAGGGCCATAGTTGTATTGAATGAAAGTATCTCACGAACAACCCGCGTTATAAATATAATCGACCCGTGTAACAATCCTAGGCCATGTTCAAGTAAATTGTGCAGCCACGCCCACTCAATCGCAGGAATGTGCAGTGTATAATACGTGTGAATCGCTCGCTCAACGTAGTTTAAATTATTGTTAACCAGAATGAAATGTGTGTATGGCCCTTTCCGTACTGGGAAATTGGCCAAGCATCCGAAATCTGGGTGTCCCATTCGGTGTAAGCTGGTCTCTTACAATTAGTAGTTCAGTGTTGGCTGCAGCAATGGCTATCAGAAAATCCAATATGAGCGTATGAGCTGTACAGTTCAACCTAGTGATCTGCCGTTCACTAAGAAGCCGTTTCGAACACTGATCGTACAGACTCATACGAATGGGAAATGAATGGGTCTTCCAGGAGTAAAATCTGTTCTAAATCCTTGAGCGTCAGATTGTAATAAATAGTCGACATTTGGTTGGAGCTTCATGAAATTGGTGACGGTTTCCAAGTTTATTTCATTACTGTGCCAGCTGTGCTTAATGTCCACTGAGTAGGTGACGATTCTGAATTTTCTCTTGTGAGCAAACAAAAAAAAGAAAAGTGTCAGTTCTTCTCACGGCAAATCTACTTGCAAATCGTAAACCGCAAAAGTACGGTTGTAATTGTGACTGATGGAAGTGATGTTCCTTACTCTCTTCAGCAACTTTCTTCCATAATTTTCTTAAGAGGATTATCTTTACAACATGAGTAATGATATTATATAGATGCTACGATACTTGATGGAATAGACTTCGATTAGGTTCCACTGACTTGATATCGCTAGGGCACGTCCTTGCTCGCGCACGCAATCGCTCATTGTAAGGGCCTCTGAACCGATTTCAGTGCTATTGCGAACGATAAATCTCTCCGAAGACAAGTTGTTCAGGTACTTGGATGGTTCAAGTCTTTCCTCGTGCCTAGTGCAAGGGAGGGGCATTGAAATCACAGAAATGTATCTCCTTCACTAGAAAGTGCGCAGCATGCAAGCCATATGCTCGTGCTTATTTGACCTTAGCGATGTGTGCAACTACCAATCGACACGCCATACAGAGGCAAACTGTGCGCGCCGCCAGTATCGGTTCTCTAACAGAGGTGTTTGACCTGAGATAGGGTTTCGAGATAGAGATCGACGGAGACCGGTGCGATGTCCTTCAAGGTGATTCCGGATGTAGAATTTGAACACTATATCAGTGGACAGGCACAGATCAACAGCGCTTTCACCGAACAGAAGCCCACTCTTGTGGCCTGCTCGCTGCACTAGAGAAGTAGCAATGGGGGCGGTTGTAGACCCTTACGAAACCTTATGGGAAACAAGGTGAGCCTTATGGGAACTAAAAAAGGGGAGTTTTATGATCTGGGCATCAGCTGATTTACGCTTCAGAATCAGAACTATTAGGTTGTCTGGAAAGTTCTCAGCGTTTTGAGTGTTTCACTTTGAACGATCATAACTTTCTTAATACTCATCGGATTTAATCGAAATAAGCACCGTTCGAATCAGCACACTTTTGCCAATGTGACACCAGTCGAAAATCCCATCAAAGAAAAAACTGGGTGGTCGAGAATCCACGAAGGCTTTTTTGCCTGGTCCTGATTGATGAAGTATTTTCCAGCAAGGAAGTTCTGAAAATGTTTGAAAGGTGATAGTCGGTTGGTGAAAGGTCTGGAGAATATGGCGGGTGAGGTAGAACTTCAACCCCCAATTCGTTCAATTTATGGATAGTGATTTGTGAAACGTGTGGGCGGGCGTTGTCATGCAAAAGAATCGGACCCTTTCTGTTGACAAGTGCTGGCTGCAGCTGACGCAATTTTCGGTACATTTCGTCGATTTCTTCACAGTAGGACTCTGCTGTGATGGTTTGGCCTGGTGACAAAAAGTTATAGTGGATCACACCAGCCGATGACCACCACACTGTGACCATAATCTTTTTTTCGTGAGGATTCGGCTTTGGAAATTGCCTCGGTGGTTCGTCGGCATCCAACCACTGTCCGGAACGTCTCCTGTTATCATACATGATCCACTTTTCATCACAGGTGACAATTGGTCAAAAACGGGTCGTTTCTGTTGCGCAAAAGCAGTGAAGAAGAAACCGTGCCAATTTCTGCCGGTCACTCAAATTGTGGGGCACCCACTTGTCGAGTTTTTTCACCTTCCCAATGCGTTTCAGACCATCCGCAACAGTGGATTTGCCAACGCCTAGCTTTTCTGCAATCTCTCGAACTGTTTGGGATGGGTCAGCCTCCACAAACGCCAAATCCTCGTCAGTATTGCTTTAGGTCGACCGCTACGAGGTTCATCTTCAAGGCTGAAATCTCCAGAACGAAATTTGTCGAACCATTGCTTTCTCCAACACTATTGGGCCCCCACACCTGGTTAATTTGTCGAGCTGTCTCGACTGCGGATTGACCCAATTTGTAGTTGAAGAAAAATATCGTCCGAAGTTGCTCTTTTGACATGCTTCAAAAAGTCTTGGGAAAAGGGGGTTCATCAAGCAATGGTGAAACGGCAATTATACCATCAGATAGCGCAAAAATTCTCTTCAGGATGTACTACTGAGACGCAAGGGAGAATGAGTTTTTAATCAGCAATGAATGTACAAAAAATAGTAACACAAAACGCTGAGAACTTTCCGGACAACCTAATATATAATAATGAGAGGGCGAACCTCGTTTTCACCTGAAAAATTCACAGTACAAGCCGTTCCAAGGACTAGCATGTCTCGCAGGAAACGAATTTTCGAATGTGGTTGTTGATAGCGCGTTTGCGCGCACTGTTGTGAAGGAGAAAGATCCTGTTATGTTTATTGAGGAAAGCAACTTCTAGTCGAGTTTTCCAAGGAATAAGATTTCCACTGAAACTGTAGTGGTGACGGCACTCGAGTTCGTGTGCCAGCTACGGTGCTGATCTTTGTGAGTTTTAGAAGGTGTCTCTCCCATCCGCTGCCAATGCCTTTTGAGCCCGGTTGGTCTCCCAAGCCAAAGCCGCCGTATTCAAATTGGTGTGCAGGAGACAGTGGGAAGATCCATCGCATCACATATGTTATTTACTGCTCACTATACCCTGAAATCGCAAAGGAGAAGAAGTCGAATCTGCTGCCGTCAGAAATAGCTTTCTATGCCATGTTCGTCACACAATATCACCACAGTAGGTTTATACAGGGTGGGGGCAATTTAAAAAAAGTCACTTTGATCGAGTCACATATCAGCAAAGTTTTCGCAGCCCAGACAGAGGACGTGGATACGAGTACCAGGGCGGAAGATACCCAAGATGTTCCTCGATAAGCAGGAGCTGGCTCTCGCCCATCACCTTCATGTACACCAAAATATGAAGTCATCTCCAGTCGCAGCCTGACTGGAGAAGACCTTTGGAATTCATGTCACCTCCAAACAGCTGCGAAACTTCTAGTATGGAGTCACCCATGGATAGCTACCTGGAGACCAGTACTCTCGATCTGGAAGACCTCCAACATCGAGCAGCTCCGACAACGTCTCTACGGTCTAGATGGAAAGGCGTTGAGTACTTAAAGGAGATGGAATATCCAAGTAGGTCACCTGACCTGAATCCCCTCAATTACCCGGTTCGGGCGGAGTTCAATAGGGTGGTCTACGGTGGCGGAGAAATCGACTATCTCGCTGATCTCAGGCACCACATCGCGGTCGCGTGCCAGAATCTCTCGATGGCGCTCGTCCAGAAGGCTGTGGCGGATAGTATTTAATATGCTCTTTAATATGGTGGTAGAAATGTCCGATCAGAATTTAATAAAGTGTAACTTATAGCGCCTCGAAAGTCAAGGAAGAAAAGTGACTTTTTTATCCCCCTGTATGTGGGCTATGGGTCAGCCTATAAATATATAATATTAATAACAATAATAATATCAATAATAACAAGGTCGCTGAAGTGTTCCAGAACACTATCAAGTGTGTCCAGTTGGTCTCTTCATGAAACCTTGGCATTATTGTGAACTTCAGTTTGTGATTTTGATTTTTTTTTCTGCCGAAGAGATTGTGAGGTGGAAGACTTTATTTGAAATGGACTGACATTTTGACAGGATCGTCTTCCTAAAGGGCCTAACATTGCTCACAGTTCAGATGCTACATCCTCTACATCGCCAGACGCCTCAACACCTTAGCGTTTTGAGGGAACCTTAGGAGAACTACCGACAAATCCGAATGTGAGGAAGACACCAGCTCGCCTCATTCCTTATTCCTAAGCAGAGTAGGCGTGGCATTTGAACATGGCACGGAACTGGTTACTCGTGGAATATTCCAATCTGGGACAACTGTCATCTTGTTCTGTGTTGGACAGAGACACGACAACAGTTGTGTCAAGATGGAAATATTCCACCAGAAGCATAGACACCTTC